CTGCGTTGGTTGTGTGTTTCGGTAACTGACACCTGCTGCATAATGATCTCCACCTCACTGTTGTGTTGGTGATTTGAATCAGATGTTATTTAGGATCGATGAGATCATCGACGAGGCCGATGGCATCATGGTGGCACGTGGCGATTTGGGCATCGAAATTCCTCCTGAAAAGGTGTTTATCGCCCAGAAGTCGATAATCGCTAAGTGCAATCTGGCCGGCAAACCGGTGATATGTGCAACACAGATGCTCGAGTCGATGGTGCAGAAACCGCGACCGACGAGGGCTGAGGGAAGCGACGTGGCGAACGCCGTTTTGGACGGCGCAGACTGTGTCATGCTGTCAGGTGAAACAGCGAAGGGCGCCTACCCTCTGCAAGCGCTGATCATGATGCATCAGGTGCGGAGTTGCTCATTTCCCAAATGCGCAGCGAATGAAGTGTTGTTCTATAATCTTGCTGATCGCTATTTTCTAAGCCTATTTTGTTTTCAGCCCAGTTTTGGCACCATTAAGTCACTTGTATAGGTCTTTTCTGACTGGAGGGTTGAAACTTAAAAGTTAGCTGATCAGTACATAGTGGGGACATGCTTTAAGGCTGTCGACGTGCCCCCGCAATAACACTTTCACTGGCCCACTCACATGCATGGTGCGTTCGTTTAATTTTTTACCATTATCAAAGCTCCCTCAACCATCACTTATACGAATGATCTTGGCTGTCATAGAGTAAGCTTTATGGGCGCCGGCGAATTTCGAAATGCTGTATCAAATGTAGAAATAACGGAGGATAAAACCAGCGATGAGGGCCATTCTGAAAGGCAGCCGTTAAAAACAGTAACCCGTGGCTTCAGACGTCATGAAGTTTGTTGAAAGCAACGCTCTCAACCTAACATATTCAAAACAGGATGGCGCAAGTATGAATTAATATTGACTGGCGATCATCGGCCTAATAAACCTGTGGGATGTGCCCAACGGTAGCGGTGGTCGTCCGGGAGGCGTAGCCTCGCCGTCGAACGGTTTGATAACTAACGACGATTGGGAACAACCCTTCCATGTTGCTTATGTTACGCATTGTGAAAGTGTGCCAAGGTTTACCAGTGCCGCAGATACGCCAGAATAGCGATCACGCTTTAAATGCGTTCTTAAAGCATAGTGATCTTGCCTTTGGTACTCGAACATGTTGCCCAACAGAGTGATGTCGTTTTGCACTCATACGTGTGATGCAATGATGCCATAGAGCCGTGGCTTGCTTAAACATGAGTTACTTGTTCAAGAGAATTTGACAAATGAAAAGACTCTCGTCTACATTCAAAGTCATACTTCCGTTAAAATTTCCTTGCCATTTACTTCCAGGACGTCCGGATAGACCTTTTCCGCTAATGCTCCCGTAGTTGACTCTAGTCGTACTATGTAAATTTGCATGTCGTTTAGTAAGTTGCCTTGCAGTTAATTTTCATATTTCAGATTTGTCTACAAGCTGAATGTGCAGTGTACTACACGAAGTACTTCAATGAACTGTTAGCTTCGACGCCTAAGCCTACGGACATTGCGCGCACGGTAGCGATCGCTACCGCTTCAGCAGCAATGAGCTGCAATGCCGCAGCCATTCTGTTAGTCACCACCACCGGAAAGTAAGCGTTTGATTGATTCGTAATCGTCGTTGCTACTGTCGTTTTTCAAGTCGGCAACTGAAAGCTGGTGCTCTGATCTTTATTTCTCTGTACTTCTGTGAAAATCTTTCCACGTGGCCACACGCGCAGCTAACGTCGTGGTTGTGATGGAATAGTGGCGTTGTGGTTGCGTCGTGGCTAATCGTAGCTGATTCGTCATCATGTGCAGTTCGCTGCTTGTGACATATCCGTGAAATCGGCGTATTTTCTAATTTATCATCTTATTCTTATTCTCTTAACCATGGCCTCATTTTGTGTGCGTTCGGACTGCCGGTTCGTGTTGTCAGTGCATCGATCGCCAGCCATTAATTTTTTGTTACTGATTGCGATTGTTATTTTTATATAGATACAGAAAACTTCGAAGCGAACGGGGTTACGGACGGGCGGGTCGTACCCGTACGTTAGGTTTTCACGGACAGAAGTGTTTCCGACGATCCAAGCAAAACATGAGAGAACGTTCATTTGTAGTTTAAGCTAATGCATTAGGTTTCAGATCTGCGTTTTCTGTTCCGTATGTCTGTGTGCCGGTGTCGACGCATTCTTTTTTTTAAAGAATGAAACAAGGTTTCAGGAGGAAGGCGGCGTTCTCTGCTTTTTGGAGTATCACTGGACTATCGAACTTGTGATCGTTGGCTAATGCATCGGTCTTTATAAGCGGTAGATTTGCGTCAAACTCCCGTACACCGGCACAGATTCAGTTTACGGACAGTGCAGTCACTTACTCGATGTCGGTAAGTTTTGGTTATGCTAGCAGTTAGCCTGTAATGGTTGTATTTTTCGGTTTACTAGGCCGACTAGTATTTCACATTTTTAGACTGCATCTGTTACCTTAAGAATTGAGCCACAAGCATTCATGTCATGAGCTAGTCCCAGAACTGAGCGTAGGTTCTTTCTCTACTCTTATTTTTCGCTCCTGCTTTAGTAAATGTTTCTTATTCGAAAAATAAGCTCATTTCACTGAAAACGATCCTCATTGTTTTCGGCATTCGCCAGCTTCGAGTGGTTTCTTTCTACCTCCGTCGAGTTGGAAGTAGAGAAAATTACTCGTCGAAACTCAGAATGCCAGCGGGGATCGTCTGAAACACGCTCTGTCGAACCTATCGCGTTAAATCAACCAGCCAGTCGACATTGGTTGGTACAGGGGCGAGGCGAACTTGATTGGGTCTTTCATGCTCCTTTGTTCGTGGATCGTTAAGCTTGTCAGCGCATTCGGTCGTTCAGTTTCGCGCCGCTAGCGTCCATCGCTCGGGCTTCCACTGTGCGTGTGACATCGTTTTTGTCCGAGCCGGTCATCATTTTCAAGCTCTCTCAGGACACTCTAAAATTTGCCTCATTTTTAGGGCAATGCGTTAGTCGCCGCTACAACCTCAACTCTTCTTATCGATTGATCACACTTTAATATATAGCGTGGATGCATCGATGCAATCGATATGTCCTTTACTTGCCTAATGAATTCATTGCTCTATTTTATAGATTGTAGTTGTGCGTATTCGCCCGATGGCGCGACGCCGACAGGTCGGTAATGCCTCGACGAATTGGCGAAAGCAACGTTCAGTGCTTCCTTGGCTTCATTTAAATCTACCCACTTTTCCAGGTCTCTCAGTTATTCCAGATAAAATGAGGCGGTAAATGAAGTTAACCTTGAAGTTTCCGGAGAGGGTCTTGAACGTTTGTACTTGTTTGCTCAATTAATTGTGCTTAATCGCCTATGCTAATGCTTTGCCATTCAGTTGGGAAACTCCGTTGATTTGGTGAACTCTGTTTCAAAGGCTTTATAGAAGAGAGCGTTTTGAGCTATACATTTTTGGTATCTGGCTAATTAAGAAATGGTAGCACAAAGATCGCGATCGATTTCAGATATGCAGTTCCTGACCAGAAACTTTTCATCTTTCAGCGCACCGATAGTCAGCAATGAAATCAAATCAGAAGAGTTGTAAGGAGTTGCGGCCTCTCAACCAAGGAACCAGATGGTAGTAGTCTTTTATTTCTCATTCCAGGCATCTGAACCTGTTATTGTTAATGTGATTGAACTTAACATCGTCTGAGAAGACAACGCCAGAAGGGACCGCTATTTTGATTCCTTAGTAACGTAATTTTTTGCGGAAACGGATTGAAAAGGAGCTAAACCTTACACCTGTAGAACTTTGCTTCCGCACGATTGGTTATCATGACCATGTCTGCACCGGGTTAAGTGACGATTAAGTTTAACGATCACTGTCCTGGTCGAATACCTGTTCACTCAAATGGTTGTCATACCTCCACATCAAACTTGTCATGGGCGTTGGTACATTTTGTGTGGTTTGAGGCAAGACGCGGATTGCTGAAGTTGATGTCTTGACTTTCCCGTGTTTTCTTTCGTACGTTCCTCCGTGTTTATTCTTCTGTTTTTTGTTTCATTAGATCAGATTAAGCAGTGAATTCAGTGAG